CTCTTTATTGACGTTTTTTGCATGTCAAATACAGAAGGACAAAAACACAATAACAAACATCAGTGGACATCATTGCCATTGCCATGCTAAACCAATCAATTATTCTCACCAAAGTAATCTATTAAAGTTTGCAGCGGTGAATAAAATATTTCAGACTTCCCCCTCAACAAATATTAGATTTTCTCTAATTTCAAATGAACCATTATGTTTTTCATTAAGGCTAAGTGTTCCAATAGATCATTTGACTGACTTTAATTAATAACCGTTCCCTTGGAAAGGTAAAGGATTACTCTTAATTTTTCTGTAATTTAATTACAGTTGCTTCTGATGTAATTTAATTAAACACTTTTTGAACAATTCTTTATAACACAATAGTGGATTTAACATCAAAATCTAACATCTTATGTACATTTATGTTTTTAATGTTACCTCCTCTGTTTAAATACTTTGCTCAGTTCAAGAATAATTTATGCAATTTATATTATTTATTTGAAAGGGTTAAAAGAGCAGTTTCATTGTAATGTTCTGTGCTTGTAATGTTCAACTGGTCGAGGTGATTAGTAGTAGTAATTGGATAAGTAATGCAATACTTTTTAGAGTAATTAGTAATAGTACACTGTAAAAAGTGAACAGTTGGATCAACTTAAAAAAATTACTTCAATTGGTAACACCTAAAAAAATTAAGTTCTCTCAACTTAAATTATCACATTTTCTCAACTTAATTTTACTAGGTCAATCACACTTAAATTATTTGAGTTCACTCAATCCTATTATTTACATTAGTCTGACTTAATTTCACTGCATTCCAACTTAAATTTATTAATTTTTCCTACAGTTGGATCAACTTAAAAAAATTACTTCAATTGGTAACACCTAAAAAAAATAAGTTCTCTCAACTTAAATTATTTTATTTTCTCAACTTAATTTCAGGTCAATCACAGAAGACTCAAATTGCTGGAGAAATATTTATTAACATTAATTCATTTTATACACCATCGGTATTTTTCATATTACAAACTTTGAGAATTTTTTTTACAAACATTTGTTGTGCCAATGAAATTCCATTTACTGACACACTTGTTCCATTAACAGTTTTTTTGCAAAGTTGCCTTTGCACTGAATTATGCTCAAAACTGCATAAGCCAACATATGTATAAAAATAAATATAAAAACATAGTGGTTATGCCCTTAAAGGGTTAGTTCACCCAAAAATGAAGTCATTAATTACTCACCCCCATGCTGTACCAACCCCGTAAGACCTTTGTTCATCTTCGGAGCACAAATGAAGATATTTTTGATTAAATTTGAGAGCTGTATCACTACCACATAGACTGCCGGGACTGGCTCTTGACGGCCCAGAAAGTCAATGAAGAAAATGTTTAAATATTCCATGTGACTACAGTGGCTCAACTATAAGTTTATCAAGCGACGAGAATACTTTTTGTGTGAAAAAACAAACAAAAATAACGACTTTATTCTACTATTCCTTTTCTTCCTTGTTGGCCAGAAATGACACTTCAATGCGATTTCCACGACGCATGCGCGTGAACTGAACTGAAGTAGTTGAAGGAGATCGCAATTCTCGCGCATGCGTCGTGGAAATCGTATTGATTGGTAGTTATACAGCTCTCAAATTTAATCAAAAATATCTTCATTTGTGTTCCGAAGACGAACGAAGGTCTTACAGGGTTGGTACAGCATGGGGGTGAGTAATTAATGACTTAATTTTCATTTTTGGGTGAACTAACCCTTTAAATGAGCTACCTAAAAACAATTAAATGGATAGTTCACCCAAAAATGGTTCAAGTTGCTCCAAACCTGCATGAGTTAGTTTCTTCTGCTGGACACAAAAGAAGATGTTTTGAAGAATGTTGGTAACCAGACAGTTGACTTCTGAATTGTTTGACTGTTGACTTCCAAAGATACAGGAAGTCAATGGGTGCCTTCAATTGCCAGGTCACCAACATTCTTCAACAAATCTTCTTTTGTGTCCAGCAGAAGAAACTAACTCATGCAGGTTTGGAACAACTTGAACCATTTTTGGGTGAACTTTCCCTTTAATCTTTCAAATAGAACCATACTGTATGAGAAGAGCTTTACAGGTAATGCCCTAAATTTAAAGTGAATCAATCAGATTCAAACAAACAACTACACATTCATACTAGACGTATGAATGAACAAATGGATAGTCTACAAACATAAGAAAACAAATTAAACATCCAACATTCTTTCAAACACAGACTAGACATATGCACATTCAAACATTACTGCAAGTTCACTGTTGTCTACTGAAAAGACTTTGAACTTTTAGTGACATCTTTTGCTGTTCAAGCTGCAAGAGAACTTTCTGGAATACCTCGAAAGTAAAACGAAGCGGTTTTGGGTAAGCCAGATTGATGATGTATATCATCCCGAGAAGCAAGGCACAAGCTGATGTGAACGAAGGCAGTTCATTCAAAACTTTAACACCCTCGATGACGACACCTATGTCAGCCGGTGGTTCGTGATGTTCTCCCCCCTCCTTCCGAATAACATACACCGCCATGGTGAACTGCTCCAGCTCACCCTCCCAATCATCTCGCTGCTTATCCTAAAGAAATGTACATAAAAAAAATAAATAAATAAACATTTTGCAGTCATAACTACAAAACACAAATTTAAACTTTCTGAAAAATCTAAATAGAACATGCAGAATTTCAACTCACAAGGTACTCCTTGATAAGGTCTTGAGGATTTTCGTTAACACTTTAAAATAATGGTCCGTAGTTAACAAGTAGCTATGCAGGAAGTAATAAGTAGTACTGCATTAAAGGGTTAGTTCACCCAAAAATGAAAATTCTGTCAGTATTTACTCAACCTCATGTTGTTCCAACCCCGCAAGACCTTCGTTCATCTTCGGAACACAAATTAAGATATTTAAGATATTAAAATCGCTCCTGCATACAGTCCATAGGCTTCTTGAGGGACTGGCTCTTGCTGTCCCCGAAAAGTCATTAAAGACATCGTAAAAATAGTCCAAGTGACTACAGGGGCTCAATCTTAAGTTTATCAAACGACGAGAACACTTTTGTGCGCAAAAAAACAACAAAAATAACGACTTTATTTCAACTATTCACTTCCTTCTCCATGAGCCTGTAAGTCAGTTAGCGTAGTGTGATTGCGTAGAGCTACGTCACACGTAGGCTCACTATTGGCCGACGCTGGTCATGTGTGTGTGATGCGTGTGACGTACAATGACAGAAACTTACGCTATTAAACTAGTAACCTGACTCGCGCAGAGGGAGAAATAAACGAATAGTTGAAATAAAGTCGTTATTTTTGTTGTTTTTTTGCGCACAAAAGTGTTCTCGTCGTTTGATAAACTTAAGATTGAGCCCCTGTAGTCACTTGGACTATTTTAACGATGTCTTTAATGACTTCGAGGACAGCAAGAGCCAGTCCCTCAAGAAGCCTACGGACTGTATGCAGGAGCGATCTTAATATCTTAAATATCTTAATTTGTGTTCCGATGATGAACGAAGGTCTTACGGGGTTGGAACAACATAAGGGAGAGTAAATACTGACAGAATTTTCATTTTTGGGTGAACTAACCCTTTAACACCGAAGTTAATACTATTAACTAATATGGAAGCAATATTAACTAAGCAGTAAGTAATAGGTAATTTAGTACAAAGGTAGTTCCTTGGTAGGTATTTGATCGTTACTAAAGAAATATATCCTCATTGAGAACTACTTGCGAACTAAGAATTAATAATCAATTAATTACTAAATCACAAAAGTAACATATCTAAAAAGTGAACAATTGTGGGGGTTTTATACTCTTAACATGATCATAACATTTCAGAAGCATGTGCCTCAAATGGGTTCTTTGTGGAAACCAGTTTATGAAGTTTATATATCCCCCCAAATACATTAGCTAGGTTGAGATTGTGACTACTACTCTTGCCAGGATGGACGCATGTTCTCTGTTTATTTAAAACTTAAACATAAAATAATACTAATAAAGACAGTTTTAAAAAAAATAAACCTTAAATAACTAGGAAGTGATGCTGACACTCTCATGATTGGATCAGTCCACTATTATAACTATGTTACAGTAGCTGCCTAAGGAGGACTTCTTTTTAGGACATGAATATAAACATTGATGTTCACTTGTCAAAAACAATTTGTATCTTTAATGAAGAAATTGGCTGCATTTATGTTACAATAAGCGCAAAACCACATCTTCCAGATTACAGTGTTTGTTTGATTATTAGTGCCTCACAGAACCTGTACAGTATGTGTCAAATATAAAATTAAATAACTTGTGTAAACATTGTGGGATGACAAGGTAACGCTTGTAGTTAGTTAGGAGTTAACATGTTTTTCACAAATGATACAAGTTATTTAATTTTATATTTGACACATACTGTACAGGTTCTGTGAGGCACTAATATTCTAACAAACACTGTAATCTGGAAGATGTGGTTTCGCGCTTATCGTAACATAAATGCAGCCAATTTCTTCATTAAAGATGCAAATTGTTTTTGACAAGTGAACATCATGTTTATATTCATGTCCTAAAGAGAAGTCCTCCTCAGGCAGCTACTGTAACATAAAGTTATAGGTCTTTGGAGTCTGAGATATATGTGACTGACATTCAATAGAGCTCATAATAGTGAACTAATCCAATCATGAGAGTGTCAGCATCACTTCCTAATTATTTAAGGTTTATTTTTAAAAACTGTCTTTATTAGTATTATTTTATGTTTAAGTTTTAAATAAACAGAGAACATGCGTCCATCCTGGCAAGAGTAGTAGTTCTCAATGAGGATATATTTCTTTAGTAATAATCAAATACCTACCAAGGAACTACCTTTGTACTAAATTACCTATTACTTAATGCTTAGTTAATATTGCTTCCAAATTAGTTAATAGTATTAAGTTCGGTGTTAATGCAGTGCTACCTATTACTTCCTGCATAGCTACTTGTTAACTACGGACCATTATTTTAAAGTGTTACCGGATTTTCCCCAGGAAAACGATGAGGGCCTTCAGGACACTCTTCTTTCCGTGTGAATGTTTTCAGTCTGTGAAAAAGCATTTGTGATTATTTTTCTTATTTTTAAAATTCGGAGTAATCTGTAATGGAGAATCAGATTTCCCCAAGGATAGCAAAGGACAAGAAAATATAAACAAAACTTAATTTACAAAACTATAAAAGGTTGTATTAATGACTGGACAAAGTATATACATCACAGAAGTATAAAAAAAAATCATTATTCAGATATAAACACTGATGTCTACGTTACCGTTCAAAACAGAATTTTTTTTTAGGTTCACCTCAAAGAACATACACAGAGAAGTCAAAAATTAAAGATGATTGAATGACTCATAAATGTAAGTACACATTGATGGCCTAAGAAACGAAACAAGCGGTTTGTGTGAGAAAACGAACAGTATTTATATCGTTTTTACCTCGTGTAACACAGCCATGACAAAATGAACTGACGGCATGGGCGCTTCGGTCTGCGCACGCGCCGGAAGTGATCGCTTGCAAGTCAACGTCACTCATTGTTTACACAGAGATTTCAGAAGTTTTACCTTTCACTAAACATATTTAGATATATCGAAATAATCTTCCATTGCATTGCATGCTCTTTGAGGTGGTGACCATAGACCTGCATTATATGACTGATAGACAACGGTTTGACCGAAAAATATCAAAATTGAAAATACTGTGGAAACAAAGACATCTTGGATGCCCTGCCTTGAGGTAAGCTAAAACACACCAAAAATTAATTTCAAAGTGAACTATTCCCTTTAAATCAGCCAGTACTTGTGCACCTTTTACATGCACAATACATGTCACATCATAATCATTTTGAGCTTCAAAATTGGTTTACACTGTATAAACTAAAAAAAGATATTTCTGAGAATCAAAAAAGGGACATGCATTCGGGATGTCATAAGGGTGAGTTGATGCCGATTTTAGTTCTTAATTCTTTTAGTTTTAGTTCAAAATTCTTATTTAGGATAAATTGCAAGTCAATAGCATTAGACAACATTAGATGGAATTTACTCAAACATGTCCAACATTAGTAATTCATATTATCTATTATCAATAGAAGAAATTAGAAATTACTTAAATTAATAGAAAATACTTACCATGTAATGTTATAGCAAAGTGTCGTCCTCAATCGTCAAACTTGAAAAAGCTTTCGGTCATAAGGAGAGAAAAATGTTGTATCATTAGTATTTAACTTAAGTGGTAAAAAATAGTTTGCTACAGGTCAAGTAATTAATTAGTTGTGAAATACTACTATTTTCTACAAAAAAAATCATAATTTTAAAGAAAACCCCGATTTGTTTTCCTGCATGAAACACCTCGAGCTAGGCAAATTAAGCTAGCGTTAAGCACAGGCCACAGATCAGGGAATCAGGTAACGTTAACGTTAATAATGGGCTGACTCCCTGATCAGTGCCCTGGTTAACTTAATGAACTGATTGAGATGCACCCAATGGCGTTTATCACAGACTTTCAGCATCATTTTGGGCGAAAAAAGTCGATGAATAAGTCAGAGCTAACGTTTCAAAGACAAATAAAAGAACAGACAAAAAATAAAACTCAAATATTGTACTGCAGGAATTCAAATTCGAGCATTTTGTCCCGCTCCCCGACCACTTCCCGCCCAAAGCATTTCCAATTTCTCACGCGGCACAGACGGTTATCCTTTTTAAAACTATTTAATAACTGTTACACAAGTCCCAAGATCCAAACTGAACACATTTTTATAAAACAAACGAGTTAAGTTAAAGATAACATCATGTTTAACGTTAACTTGCATAGAACTATAATTCAGTAATGCTAGTTTGCAAACGTACGTTTAAAAATGTGGTTAATTGCGATTTTGTTAGTATTCATGTTCACAAACAACATTCATTAACTCATAAACAACTAAAACAAACGTCCAAAAGTTGCATATTTGAGTATATTAATTAAAAAACAAAACTTCCAACCTACCTTATTCATCCGAGTGCGAAAAAGAAAATGGCGGTCGAGCAGAAAGTTCCAGACAGGCTCGTGCGTCATGACGTCAGCAAAAAAACGTCTGACGCGAGGGTCCTTAAAGGGAAATTACACTTTGGGTGAAAGCGAGATATCTGAGTGTCTGTGAATTTCTATGCGTTCAAGTTGAATGAGTGTACAATAATCAATTACGATTAGGAAAGCAGAAATACGAAGTAAATAGACTCAAATAGTTCTAGTAATCCAACTTACACCCATATTCACTTTTTACAGTGTATACCGTCTGCAGGGCCCGGGACACGTGTTTTTAATGAACCTACAAGTTGGAAAATATTTAAAAAATATAAAATATGAGGGAAGAACAAAACTTTAAACTTACGATATTTATCTGACAAAAGGACTTGGCAAATATATCAATCCACAACCACATTTTACTATACAAAAATAAATAAATAAAAGCAAACAGTGACTACAACATAATCAATTATTTATATTCCAGTAGTTTTCTCTTGTTGTTTTGCATTCCTTTAAAATTTCTTTGTATGATAGACAGTCTAGATTTAAAAAAAATGTCACAATTTGTCATGTTTCACTGGCTTATCAAATAAAACAATTGACTCCAAACACAATTATGCAATATTTAAATGAAGTGTGAAGATGTCATCTTTCCTAGGCTAGACCGGACATCACTTTTGCCCACAGCTGCACACGATACTTCTATCAAATTGATGCGATTAAGCTCATAATCATAATGGTATTAAATATGTGGCATATGCTGATTTCACTGTTCACATCACACTGCCTGAACTGCTCAGTCGTGACCACTAGAGGGCAGTGCAACATGGCAGCCGGCATCAACTGCACTCAATCCATACAAAAACACTCGAGATGTGGAGAAGTTATGGATCATTCCTGCTCTTCAGAATGTTTTTATGTCCCCATGATAATATACATGAAATATGAATCAATGATATTTGGGCTAATGAGCGAGTCGGACTGGTATATTAATATAATATTCCATGGAACTAAAGGTCCTTTTATAGTGTAAAAAGGTTCTTTTTAGTGCATTAAAATGTTCTTCAAACTAAGAAAAAAGGTTATTTTAAGAACTGATCACTGAAAGGTACTTTGAGGAACCAAAAATGGTTCTTCTATGGCATCGCTGTCAAAAACATATAGGAACTTTTATTTTTAAGAGTACATTTTTGAGTACACAATTTTTTTTCCCTTATCTGGTATTTTTGTCTTGTTTTCCAGTACAAATATTACGTATATTAAATCAAGATCATCAAGAATCTCCTGAATGATTCAATGACGAATACATACAGTCACTTGTCGCCGTGTAATGAGACAACATTTTTTATGCATCAAGTTACTTTAAAAAGATGATCTTTTTTTGTGCGTGTTTATATCATATGACACATTTTACCACCATTATAGCTGCTATGATTATGAGCTTAATAGCATCAATTTGATACTAGTGCAGTAGTGACAGTAACACTTTATCACTGTATTCATATTATTATTTAAAGATTTTGTGGTCATGTACTTTGAGTCGATGTTTTATTTGTGATTAATACACAATAAATAATATGTCAAATTGTGCCAACATAATATTTAATATATATTAACCAACTAAATATTAATAACTGATTATGTTGTCAGTGTCCTCTGTGCTTGTTTTTCTGTGTATTTTTTTTTTTTTTTTTTGGTAGTAAAAATAAAAACCTGTTGCTGTAGTTTGCCAAATAATTACTTGCCAAATTACTTAAGTTTAGTGTTTTGTTCTTCCATTTAAAATATATATATATACAGTATATATATAAAAATAAAAAAAAACATATTTTAATTGTTTAATTTGGCAAATATCCCTCCTGGACATCACTTTTGACAACCTACTGTATATAAACGAAACTATTTTCAAAGAAAGAATTGTGTGTGTAATCTCTCTCTGCTTTGTGCGCTGCGAGGACGGGGCGAGTGATCATTCATCAATGGCATGGCATGGCATTCAAAAAAACCAAAGTGCTGTTTCATCCCACTTTTGGTGTTTCTCACATGAATCAGAACAGCTGTAGTCACAGACTAATTAAATTTAATCACAACCACTCAGGAAAAAGTGCTCTGATATTGTTGATCAGATTATGTGTCAATTTTAAAGCTGTAATCCTCAATTAAGAGCATGTCAGTAAAGGTCGCCGGGGTCACAGGGCAGAAGACTTTATTAATAGTGCTGAATCCAGCACGTACTTGTGTAATTATCACTCTGACCCAGAATAATTAGCATACACTCCCGTGAGAGAGAAAGCGCTGTCTCACCTTAATGAGTGTAAAGCCACCGTCACACACACACACCAGATGAAACCAGGACACACAGCTGAGCTCCGTCCTGCTTCTGTTCGACAGATCCGGTGAGCTTTAGTTCAGCTCTGGTTCTGGTTAGTCGAGTAGTTGGTCCGGTTCTGTTTTAAAAATATATAGTTTCCTTTTTGTCAGCAGATTCATCACTCATTTATCTTGACTTGAAAGATGTCACAGATAGACATGGGTGTCATACTTTAATACAGCCCTGATTTAGTCTCACTTTGAAAAATACTCAACATTTTGCATCACTAATACAAAGTTAGAAACTTTCCAAGGGAATTAACTGGAATATATGGGAAATAGGGGCAAAGCACAAAGATAGATAGATAGATAGATAGATAGATAGATAGATAGATAGATAGATAGATAGATAGATAGATAGATAGATAGATAGATAGATAGACTCTCAGAAAAAAAGGTACAAAAGCTGTCACTGTGGCTGTACCTTTTCAAAACGTAAACTTTTGTCCATTTCAGGTGCTAATATGTACATTTTAGGCACTGATATGTACATTTCAGGTGCTAATATGTACATTTTAGGTGCTAATATGTACCATTAAGGTACCAATATGCAGCCTTTAGGTACAAAAGTGTATGTTTTGAAAGGGTACAGCCCCAGTGACAGCTTTTGTACCTTTTTTTCAGATAGATAGATAGACTCTCAGAAAAAAAGGTACAAAAGCTGTCACTGTGGCTGTACCTTTTCAAAACGTAAACTTTTGTCCATTTCAGGTGCTAATATGTACATTTTAGGGACTGATATGTACATTTTAGGTGTTAATATGTACCATTAAGGTACCAATATGCAGCCTTTAGGTACAAAAGTGTATCTTTTGAAAGGGTACAGCCCCAGTGACAGCTTTTGTACCTTTTTTTTCTGATGGATAGATCGGTCGGAGAATACCCAGCAAGCATTAGCCCTCATTTCACCATCTAGGTTAAATATAGACACGATATAGTCTGGCTAGGCCTATGTGTAACCCACTTCTAGCCAAAATAACATTGAATCTGGCTAGTGGCTACATGTCATTTTTTTCCTAAATAATTTGCAAAATGTATGATATTCCATCATAAGCAGAGTCAACCGTGATTACAAGGTGTTTGGTTTGATTTCTTTGACATTTTCTACGTGTGTAGGCTGTGCGTAGACGCGATCTATAGCTCGTATAGTCTAATTGCCCACTTCTAGTCTAAACGGATTAATAGTTTTAATTAATTGTTGGGCAGGCAACGCATGAGATGGTTGATATCCTTCTTATCTACAGCACGAATGTCATTTCTCGTGGCATTTATACGCCAAAAACAGTTTTTGCGTGTATATGGTACGCGTTTTTCGCGTGCATATGAAACACAGAGATTTATATTTAATTATCTTAAGTTGTTGATGTTCCAATTAAAAAAAAAATTAATGTTATATTGTAATTTTACTATTTGGTTTGGTCATTTTTATGTTTTGATCTTCTTGTAAGTTATGTAATGTTGTTCTTTTGCTAAATAAATCCTTTTCTATTTAATTTGTTTTGATGGATTGTCATTTAGGAGAACACGTTATATTTTAGTGAAAATTAGTTGAATAATTTTGACTGTAAATGTTATGTCCATAACGCCGGAATTCCCCAATTTTAAATAATTTATCCTCAACTAGTTTTGTGGTGTGTCTATGTATTTTATAATGTTAACCTCAAATAATACTAATAATTTAAAGATGTAGCATTGGATCTTTGCTTCAATATCTGACTCTTTAGGCGCCCTTTAGCGTCAGTTAGATGATGCCGTAGGATCGCGTCATGTAGCCTAACTGACGCTAAATGGCGCCTAAAGCGTCAAATATTGAAGCATGGTCAAAAAGTGATGCCTTGGGGTGAGAATGCGTTGGATTTTGCAGGTTCGTGGATCTGAGTGTCACCAATCGCGATTTCGTTTTCATATCGCATTTCGTTACAGCCCTTTATAGAACGTTAAGTTCTACTTCTGTATAGTTATTTTGGTGAAAGTAACTCAAAAGTAATATAGGAGTAATGTAACGCATTACAATTCTGAGACAGTAATGTAATTAATTACTTTTAAATAACTGTAACAAGTAACTAATATATAATGCATTACAGTTTGGAAGTATTTTATTTAATTTATTTTGCATATGGGCCCGGGGCTGACTTGCTATGCCAAATATGTTTTGAGTTTATACTTAAATTCGTGCAATGTGGTGGTTGCCCTGAGAGCCAATGGAAGAGAGTTCCATAGCTTACACCTGCCGCCAGATGATAAACGAAATCTCTGCTATTTGGGCACTGTTTAGTTAGTAACGATATGGAGAATTCATAAAAGAAAAAAAAACATTTAATATAGTTCCTTTACATGTTAAACTGTAGGATGCAGAATTTATCCATCACACATTTCAACGCTTCAAAAGAGGGATCAAAGCTGTTCACTTGAATGATTTTATTAGTGCATAGACAGTGAATATTTTGTCAGGAATATATTTGCTTGTAGAAACAAATATAGTACTGATTTAAGAAAAAAAAAGCTGTACACTCTTAGAAGAAATGGTTCTATTTAGAACCAGAAATGGTTCCATCCCCCGCTTCATATATGGAACTCCAAAATGGTTCTATATAGAACCATTTTTTTGGTTAAAGGTTCTATTGGCCAAGTATGGAACCCCAGGGTTCTTTATAGAACCCAGAGGAACCCTTTTTAAGAGTGTATAGAACCTTTTAGGGGTTCCAAATACGTAGCGCTGATAGAACCTTTTAAGGTTCTATATAGAACCTTTTCTTCTAAGAGTGTAGCCTATATCAATTTAGCTTTATATTAATTAAACACGAAGAGAAAAAAAAGTTACACACCCATATTTGGATTCATATTAAATGGCATTCAAAAATAAATTAAACAATGAGCAAATATTTTTTCTCTTTTACGTAATTCTGTGTTGGATGTCATTCAGAAGTCACTCGAGGTCGCGCTTCTAGAAAACAAGTTGACATTGATGCTCTTCAGGTTTTGACTGCAGGTTCACAGTATCGATGCTCGTTGCAGAATGCATTAATGCAGTTACTAGAATTGCATTGATGCATGCGATATCATTGAGCTCTCGTGCTGTCTGTCTGTCTGAGGTTTCGCGTCATCTAGGCCCCCCCCCCCCTCCTCCTCCTCCTCCTCCTCCTCCTCAGCTCTCGCCTTCCGGATTTGCATCCGTTATTATCCCGTCAGTTTTAGTTCGCTCGAGCTCCTAATCAGACACACACATCGTTCGCAACGATCGATCACGCGTTCCGGTTGCGGTGTAATGCCAAACGCGCCGCGCGCGCTCCTCCTCCACGGACGAAAACCACACGGAGGAGCGATTCGAGATCACGATTCTGCAGTGCTGGAATCGCCAGTTTGGGCATTTTGGGCATTTCTCAGCGGCATCTGAAAAGGAAAGCCAATCATGACGGCCACTAAAGAGCAGCAAAGCCAGAGACCGAATCCGCAGGACGAGGTAACGAGCGGCATATGCATTACACACACACACACACACACACCACTGATTTGTAACGGCTTTTACCCGAATGTGGAGAGTATCAGGTAATGGACGCACGAATTCAACGCGCGTTCCCATTCGTTAGGTCAGTACATTCATGACATCACCGAAATATAATAATATATATATATATATATATCAATTATGCTGTCGTGTTTTTAATTTCAACGCCTCATCCGCATTTCTTCGAGTTGTCAATCGCGAGTATCAGTTTTTGCGCGTGACGATGGAAATTGGGAATCGGCGCACGCGCGCGCCCGTGTCTAAACAGTGTTTAAAGTCATAAAATCAAATCACGACGTGACACCGAATAAAGAATACAAGGTGCCGCTTCGTGTGTGGCCGGTCCGGGCCCGCGTGTCACCTGTCCGTGCCGCGAACCCTCAGACACGGTGCGACAGTCCGTCTGTGAATAATTGATCGCGGCTTTCTCTGACATAAGAGCGAAGAGATGCTGAATTTTTCATCAAAGCTGCTTTGAGACACTGTCACGTTCACGCAACCGAGCTGGACTAGGACAGATTTGTGGTAGTTGTCGCATAAAGTGTTGCTGAATGTTGTTCTGCATCTATAGGATCCAATAGACTTTGTCCACTGACCTTAGCTATATTTGAGTGAATTTCTCTCACCCTTAGGACAATTAACCACGGTTTTACTACAAATAAATAAAAAAAACTTGGTTATTATAGTTAAAATATGGTAAGCACAAATTAACCATGCTTACACTAACCATGTTGTAAAACTGTTGTTTTCAAGTGGTAATCAATCCTCCATATAACTGTTCACTACTTTATAATAAAACCATGGGCATTTTTCATAAGGGATGAGCTAAATGTTCAACTTCTCCTGACATTAGTGATCAGATTTAGCAATCTTTTGAAAATTAGTCAGATTTAAATAATTACAAAATATCACATTTCCACATTTCAACATCTTAGGAAAATGGGATTTCTATAATAAAAATATGACTGCTTCATACGCCAGGACTTATATCGGGCATTGAGACACAACATATGAATAGGGAGATAAACTATTTATCAATATTGAAATATTATGAAAGTGTTGCCGATTGTTTCTTCTTTTTTGCCCCAAGAACACATCATGCAAGTAAAATACAGTTTATAGTTGCAATTGAATGGACAATCTAATTTATGGCCATTTCCCCCACATATTGCATATAAAGAATAAATATATCAATTCATTACGTTATCTATTTTATAAAAAATCCTACGCTAGCTCACGACCAATTCGTACGAATTCATCCGAGTGATTAAAATGTGGCTAGTTCGTACTAATTCATACGCCCTCGCTCATACGAATTCGTACGATTTGTCCAAACCCATGTGATGCTAGGTTTAGGGGCGGGGTCAGGGGTACGTCATTTGTACGAATTGGCCAATTCGTAAAATATGTACGAGTTAGCGAAAATCGTACGAGTGAGGTCGTACGAATTGTTACGAATTAGCCACCTCATAAAATTTGTACGAATTCCCGTGAGATCGGGTTGAAAAAATCTGTAAACCTAAAAATGAAGTAGTGAATGGCGTTAAATCACATTATCTTTGCCTATACATGTAATTTCATGTCCTTTTTTTTTTTTTTTTAAGCAACTGCGTCCCGTTACATGAATAAAATATACTTATGCTCTGAACGATGTAGGCTAATGACATTAAAAATACTTTTTTTTTTGCTGATTCTCAAGAGCATATGAACAGTAAATGTATGTGACCGTGATTTTGCATGCATTCATTCTTCGTCAGATCAGAGTTAGCTTAGCATGGTTTATACTATGTTGAAACGCCAGCTGAACACACGTCAGCCGCGTCTTACGTCAGCAGCGGCACTGAACGCGGATCCATAACCGAACCAGAACACAATACAATGCTGAATAAAGTCGCAGTTTTTGTTATTTTTGGACCAAAATGTATTTTCGATGCTTCAAAACATTGTAATAACTCACTGATGTCACATGACTACTTTGATGATGTCTTTATTTCCTTTCTGGACAAGGACAGTACACCGTACACACATGTTCAATGGATGGACAGAAAGCTTTCGGACTAAATCTAAAATATCTTATACTGTGTTCTGGAGATGAACGGAGGTCTGATGGGCTTGGGAGGAGTCATTTAATGACATCATTTTCATTTTTGGGTGAATTAACCCTTTAAAGTATCAACTCACACTGACATATAGAGCAGAATAAAACATACAGCTTACTTTATTTTATTTGAAATGCTTTTTAGCCTTCATTCATTTTCACAGCTGGCCTTCAGATGTTCATTCCAGGTAATAATTGCTTTGAATGATGATTGAATAGGCAACAGTAAAGGCTCTTTTTTTCATTAAAAAGATAGTTCAGAGCAGAATAGAAATAATGCATTTCTTTAGTGCATTCTCACCCTTCATCCGAGGATCAGCATGTCCCGATTCATATGATTTGATAAAATCTGCATAAAAATGTTTCCTCTACAGTCTATTTTTCTTAAATCCAAAGTAATATTTCCCCATAAAATTAAGTTTTAATAGAGAAAGTGTCGCATATCTGTTCATCCTACAGTAAGAACCATAACTTTTAGGAATGCACCGTTATGAAAGATTTTGGCCGATACTGATAAATCTAAATCCAAATTTTTATAGAATTTTTGAGAGCCTGATTACAAAAACCAAAAGTTTCACCATTAAAATCCATGTCCCAAGCACACAATTATAATGACGTTCTTATCCTCTTATGTTATGTAGCTTTTATGACAGACTTGCGATTTTATTTTCCTTTTTGAAGTGATTTCAATCATATTTCAAGCAATTAAAAACCATCATGGCGAACATTGCCATCAAAGAAAAACATTTCGTGACAACAATATTGTTGTAACATTTTTAAACTCGGTTGATATTTTAGTGCAGCTGAAAAGATCTGTACCTTTATGTACGCGGTTCGACCTCTCGAGTGTATTTAACATTATGATGCTTTCACAAACACAACAATTACATTTACGGTTCAATATTATATTCGTTATAAATCATCTTTTGCCTATTAGTTTCTCTGTCCCTCTATTGAAAATGATTGCACACAATGACATTAAAGATGTCAGATGCAGGGAACCATAAAACTACAGTCTAAAAACAGCACAGCGCTCTTGTAGTTCAGTGTGTGTGTGTGTGTGTGTGCGCGCGCAGGGATGTGAAATAATGATGTATTCATTACTGGATTATGGCTGTGCAATCATTACTGTAAAACTCTGAAGCGTAGTCATGTTTATAGTTTGATATATATATATATATATATATATATATATATATATATATATAAGTGACAGTAAGTGACAGTAAAGATTTATAATGTTCTGAAAGATTTGTATTACAAATAAATTCTTTCTATTTATCAAAGAATCCTGTTTTTTTTTTTATCCTACTTTCCCCCCAAAATATGAACTGTTTTCACCATTGATCAAAATAATCAAAAATGTTTCTTGAGCATCAAATCCTCATATTAGAATGATTTCTGAAAAAAATCATGAAAATTCAGCTTTGATCACAGGAATAAATCACATTTGACTATTTATATTATAAAATATAACGCATAGAAAACAATGATTTTAAATTGGAAAAAATATTGCACTAATAATATTACAGTTTTACTTTTTACTGTATTTTTGATATCAGAAATGCAGTCTTGGTGGATCAATAAGAGATTTCTTTCAAAAAACATAAAATAAATTTAAATGACATTACACAAATTTATCTTGTACGATTCTTGCTTTTAATTCTGTGTAAGCACGTCACCACATGGTCTGATATGTGTAAATGCAGAGGCTCTAGACGTGTTTCCAACTATTTTCAATGGAAAGTAGCTAAAGCCTGCTCAAAGTTGCTAGATGACATAATTTGCCAGTCTGTAGTTTACATGTTTCCCCCACAAATCTATGCGTACATACTGTAATTGTAATATATAGCTGTTAGACAACTGATCGTGTATGGTATAGTGACTGACTTAACCAGCAATCCAAAAAGTCACTAGATTTGTCAGTGTTTTTTCTGATTGGCAACACTAAAAAAAAAAAAAACAATACAAATGCATTGTGTCTATTCTAAATCTTGTGTAAATGTGTGTCTGTGTAAGCCATTAACCATTATCTTTCATCAGAAGCTTTTAGCCTTCATCAGTGAGTGTGAATGTTCCTGTGTAGTGTTTCAGGTGCTTTATAAGCAGCAAAAGAGAACTAATTTCAGCATATGCACACGCATAAAGCCGCCGCTCATACAGAGTTCATTTTGGTGCATTATTAAAGGGATGCTTCACCTCTGGAAAGAATGTGTATTTAAAATGGGTCATTTATGTAGAAGAAATGTGAAATTATTTTTGAATTTGGAGCTTTGTAGACTGAGAAAAGCCAGAACATGTATTTTTGGCTTATGTGGATGAAAGACAACAACTCCCAGAATGCACTTGCTTCGCTGCCCTAGGAGGCCACGCCTACCGGTAACAGAGCGCAGTAGTTAAACAACAAGTCTAGGTTACTAGTGAGTGTCCGTGTCCGAAAATGTGTTTCCAGATCACCCAAAATGTCCGGGATTGGGCTTTTGCGTTCTACCTGTGGCGAGCAGGACGAGTCAGTAAATCAGAAAATGATATATTAGGCATTTTCCAAACTATCGGTATCGGCAGTTATAATGGCCGATAAATGAATATTTCAAAAATAAAATAAAAACGGACGAAACACGCTTGAACCATGTCATGAGTGTTGGAGTTGTATGGTTTGTCCACCAGAGGGCGCTCTACACTGTCCCGTTTGAGTTGGTCACGAGACATACATTGCTTGAATAACAATTAAAAGAACATCTGCATCAGTTCTCTAAACTTAAATAAGCATGACAAAATTCGTGACTATCATGTCCAGTTTTGCTGTTAAATAAGCCGAGAGTGAAGCGGAATTAGCTAGTAATAGTTACGTTACTTT